GGAAAACATGGATTTCAATTTCTCGAATGCAGCTTGGGCCTCGGGAGTCCACTGAAAAACTCGTTTGGAAGAAGTTAGTGAGGTTAATGGCAGGGCGGTTTGGCTATAGTTCCTGATGAAGCGGCGATAGAAGTTAGCAAACCCTAAAAACCTCTTTAATTGCTTTCGATTCTCAGGTACTGGCCAATCTAGGACTGCCTTGATCTTGTCCTCAGAAGGTTTTACCTGGCCGCCCTCGAGCACAAACCCCAGAAAGGTGACTGAAGACTGATGAAATTCACATTTCTCGGCTTTCACGAACAGCTTATTCTCCAGTAGTCTCTGTAGAACGAGATGGACGTGTCTCTTGTGTTCATGGAGATCCTTGGAATAAATGAGAATGTCATCAATGTAAACAAACACAAATACGTTGAGGAAATCTCTGAGAACATCATTCACAAGGGCTTGGAAACAGGCTGGGGCGTTAGTCAAACCAAAGGGCATCACCAGGTACTCAAACTGGCCCAAGGGTGTCTTAAAGGCTGTCTTCCATTCATCACCCTCTCGAATTCTGAGGAGGTGATAAGCATTTCTTAAATCCAGCTTAGTAAAGACAGTTGCACCCTGCACTGGTTCAAAAGCTGAGGCGAGAAGAGGCAGTGGGTATTTGTTTTTAATAGTTATTTGGTTCAAACCTCGATAGTCAATGCATGGCCTCAGAGAACCATCCTTCTTGCCCACGAAGAAGAAACCGGCGCCCAGAGGAGAGGATGAAGGACGGATTATTCCAGCAGCCAATGATTCGTTGATGTATTTCTCCATAGTCTCTCTTTCTGGTTTGGAAATATTATACAGTCTGCTGCTTGGAAGAGGAGCACCGGGTAAAAGTTCTATGGCACAATCGTAGGGTCTATGTGGAGGTAGGGACGTCGCACTGACCTTACTGAAAACGGGGGCTAAGTCGTGATACTCAGAGGGAACAGAAGAAAGGTCAGGAGAGTCCATCTCCCCCCCACCTCTAGGAGGCCCCGCCATCGGGGCAGCAGAACGAAGGCATGTTTCGTGGCACGTAGTAGACCAAGATTCCAGGAGACGTTTGGTCCAATTTATGTGAGGGTTATGCTTCTCCAACCACTCGAATCCGAGGACCAGGGGGGAACATGCAGAAGGAAACACAAAAAAGGTGATAGTTTCTCGGTGGTTACCTGACAGAAGTAGCTCGAGGGGCTGGGTTTGGTGGGTAACACGATGGAGTCTCTTTCCGTCTATGGCAGACACACTGAGAGGCTGAGACAGGGGAATGGTTTTAATCTGAAGCTGCTGGACGAGCTCAGAGTCGATTAGATTGCGCTCACAGCCTGAGTCGATGAAGGCGGAGAAAGAGAGACTCTGGTTATTACAGAACAAAGTAGCTGGCAGCAAAAGTCGAGGAGATTTACTTGAATTTATATGGCCCGCCAGACTCCTCATATCCTCTGGCGGGCCCCGGCTTTTGATTTTGCCGGGCAGGAGGCGATAAAGTGACCACTCTCACCACAGTATATGCAAAGTTTTCCAAGAAAACGCCTCTGTCTCTCCTCAGGAGAAAGCCTAGTGTGTCTCACCTGCATAGGCTCATTATCCCTTTCGCCTGAATGAGAGGCCTGAACAGGCAAAGATAGAGTCTGTGGCTTAGAACTCTGTGTGGACATCTGCTCTGTAGAGGGAGAGAGAACAGCCATGTTATGAGTGGCAGAGGAAAAATTACTTTGCTTCTTGGAGGTGTTTCTGGCTCGAATTCTGTTATCTAATCTGATGGCGAGACGAATAAAATCGTCAAGGGAAGCTGGTTCATCGAGGGTAGCAAGTTCATCCTTGATTTGTTCATTTAGAGCCATGAAAAATGCTCCCTTTAGAGCGCTCTGGTTCCATCCGGAAGCTGCCGCTTTAACCCGGAAGTTGATTGAGAAATCAGCCACAGAAGAATTACCTTGTTTAAGGTTGAAAAGAGCTCTGGAATCGATCGTTTGGTCCGTCTCCTGGTTAAATACCTGGGAAAATTCAGCAATAAAGTCAGAAAAACGGCAATTTACACCGTCGTCGATGGCAAATCTTGCCTGAGCCCAATCTAAAGCTCTTCCTGTTAACTGAGAGAGGATGAACGATATCTTCTTGTGGTCTGAAGAAAAACAACTAGGAGAGTTCAGAAAAATCAGCCGGCACTGGAATAAAAAACCCTTACAATCTTTGATGTTACCAGAGAATTTTTCTGGGAGACTGGGCCGGAACTCTGATGACGTCACAGGTTGTGACCTCGGGGGAGGAACTGGACCCGGAAATGGTTGCTGTGCAGAAGTAGCGTTAGCTCCATTCAGAAAGTTAGAGCAACTCTGTAGCATTTGATTATGTGAACCAACAAGATGGTATAACTCACGAAGCGTTTGGGTTTGACCTTGGAGAAGAGCTTCCTGCTCGTCCAAACGACGGGTGAGGTGATCTGCTGGGCCTTGAGTTTGGCCGCAGTGTTCTGTCATGATCGGTTCTCTAATGGAGACCCAAAGATGCAGAACACCACTGACGGACACAGGATGAAAAGTTTAACAAGTTTATTTGCACAAGCACGTAATATGCAGATGACTGGTTTGGGCCTGGAATCTGGTTTCACCGGAGTCTGCGTGAGAGACAACACAGTTAAGGACTGTTGACGGGGTTTAGGTTTCCAATGGTGCTCTGATAGTACCTTGAGGGTTCTTGAGGTTCTCCTTGGGAGAGTCACTGTTGGTTCTGGAGAAGGATGTGTTAGCAGAGTCCGTTAGCTGCTTCAGCGTCTCACGTCTTATTAGAACAGACCTTGGCTTGGGTTTCCTAGCTCTTGCCCAGAGCTGCTTAGAGGTTGACTGCGAATCTTCAGGGTTTGGCTCGGAGGGTCGGCTCGGCAGGTTAGCTCTTCCAGAGCTTTCACGGAGGAAGCACGAGTCACCTAGAGGCACAGAGACAAATGTTAGAATCTGACTCGGGATTAAGGACATGGAAAAATCACTGAGATCAAGGCTTTAGCGCTGACCAACTGGAACAACACTGCGGCGTTGAGGTAAGGTCTGAAGGCAGCTTAAGTAGTGGATCCTCTGATGGTCTTGATGAGCTGCACCTGTGCAGGAGGCTCCCTCAGAGGATCCACGGCGGACTCTGCTGGAGAAAAATGGTATTTTCTCCAGCTCCCAACAGAAAAGTCTATAAAAATAGAGTTCACCACATTTTCCCAAAGTAAGATTTGTAGTATGAACTACACTACCGTTCAAAAGTTTGGGATCACATTGAAATGTCCTTATTTCTGAATGAAAAGCACTGTACTTTTCAATGAAGATAACTTTAAACTAGTCTTAACTTTAAAGAGGACAGCACAAACGGGCTACTGCAGGTACTATTTAATGAAGATGCCAGTTGGGGACCTGGAGGCGTCTGTTTTTCAAACTAGAGACTCTAATGTACTTATCTTCTTGCTCAGTTGCGCAACGCGGCCTCCCACTTCTTTTTCTACTCTGGTTGGAGCCTGTTTGTGCTGTCCTCTGAAGGGAGTAGTACACACTGTTGAAGGAAATCTTCCGTTTCTTAGCAATTTGTATGGTTTGTAACTGTTTTATGAATTTCTAATTATAGATAGATGTAATTGTAAACTGTAATTAATTTGTAATGTAATCTTTTGCCGCTGTGCTGGCCAGGACTCCCTTGAAAAAAGCGATTGTTAATCTCAATGGGACTTTTCCTGGTTAAATAAAGGAATAATAAAAAAAAAATCTTGTATGGAATAGCCTTCATTTCTAAGAACAAGAATAGACTGTAGAGTTTCAGATGAAAGTTCTCTTTTTCTGGCCATTTTGAGCGTTTAATTGACCCCACAAGTGTGATGCTCCAGAAACTCAATCTGCTCAAAGGAAGGTCAGTTTTGTAGCTTCTGTAACGAGCTAAACTGTTTTCAGATGTGTGAACATGATTGCACAAGGCTTTTCTAATCATCAATTAGCCTTCTGAGCCAATGAGCAAACACATTGTACCATTAGAACACTGGAGGGATAGTTGCTGAAAAATGGGCCTCTATACATCTATGTAGATATTGCACCAACAACCAGACATTTGCAGCTAGAACAGTCATTTACCCCATTAAAGAGTGTATTTCTTTAAAGTTCAGACTAGTTTAAAGTTATCTTCATTGAAAAGTACAGCGCTTTTCCTTCAAAATTAATGACATTCTAGTGTTACCCCAAACTTTGGAACGGTAGTGTAGATGAGCTGAAACCGAAACTGAAGGGGTTGGAATGGTTCTCCAATGACAGTGCTAATGGTGTATTTACATCTGAAAAGGGATTCATGATTTGTGAAGTACTTTTGGGGGTACTGGAGGGTGAAGAAAATTCTCTTATCTCTGGGATTTCTAGTCTTAAGTACTATGCAATTCTGCAATTATAAAGTACATTTTTGTTCACTGATGACAGACTTACCAGTCATTACACTTGTAGCTGACATGTCGGTATCCAGGGAACACTGGTTAAATTTGTAATGCAGAAGAAAATTTTTTTATTTCTCTAAAACTGCTGAAAAGACAGTAACTGGTCAATGGACTGCCAAAGGTCTGAGAGTAAAACGGAAGCAGCTGCTGGAACATCCAACAGGTTCTGGTTGGGTTCTAGTTGACATCAGTCTGCTGTCTCCTCCTCATGTCTGGACTAAGGTGTAGAGTTGGAAGATAGAAGTGTTTCCAATAAAATAAACATTAAGGTCTGCCTTAAATCTCCCAGAATATTGGAGCAGTATGTTTACAAGTTGGAACCAAACTAGATCTGTCGGACAAAATTCAAAAACAAACATTAATTTGATATTTCCAGGTATATCAGTCTCACTGACTTCTCTTTTTGTACTAAATTTCCAACTATAATAAAGTTTCACTTCGTTCTTTATTTACCAGAGAAGAAGGAAGATGCAGAATGACTGAGGGAGGAGCTGAGCTGTTGCTGAACTAGAAGAAACACAGACTTCCACATCCAGCACATTTCAGCACAAACATTAACTGATTAACATGGAATATTATGGACTTCCTCTCCTCATTGCCTCCTTTCTAACAGGTCAGATTTATCTTTCTGTGTAGAAAATATTAATCACGAACATTTAAAGTGGTAATTACCTTCGAACGTTTTGTAAGTAAATAATTTCCCATTTTCTCTTCCTTCAGGAATCAGCTGTCAAAAAGTTACTCCAGTCAAAAATAGAGAGTCCAGTTCAGAAGGCAGCTCTGTTACTCTGTCCTGCAATTACACAGCAGCTGATTATTTCTTCTGGTATCGACAATATCCAGGAAAACATCCAGAGTTCCTCACCGTCAATACGGGTTTTGAAGAAATGCAGAAGGATCCTGTTCCTAGACTCTCTGGTAGAGTAAGAAGAACTGAAGCCCACATGGACCTGCTGATCTCCTCTGCAGCAGTGACTGACTCTGCTGTGTACTACTGTGCTGTGAGGCCCACAGTGACAGGAAACACCAGAACTCTGTACAATAACCTGCAATACTCCACAACATCCACTAGAGGGCCTCACACACTGTTCCTCCTCTATGGTTTGTTAGGATTCAGTCTGATTGTTTGTGCAGCTGAGAATAAAGCAGACATCAGAGTGTTTGCTGCATCATTGAACTCTTTATGATGAGAAGGTTTAGATCAGGGGTCGCCAACCTTTTTAAGGCTGAGGGCCACTTCAAGGGTACTGAGTTATAGGAAGGGCCAACAATACTAATCCATGCACAGCAAGGGTCAGTGTTCACCTAAACTTCATTATGTGAGAGAAAGCAAAAATGAGAAAGCAAAAATGTGTGTATTACAGATAACAACTTGGTGTAAGGGGTTTGAAAAGACAAACCAGCATAAAAAGGGAAATGTTATAGGTAAATATTAGTAACTGCTGACTGCCACTTTGACTTTCACTTGACTTTGATTTTTTTCTTTTTTTTTTATAACAGTAGGACTGTAAGTTTTTATGTGTTTAGGGGGTAGGAGTTAATAAGTTTTCACTTCTTCTTACCCCATTTTTGAGCATGATATGTTAATGGAAACAAATATCTGTATTTTTCTCTTCTTTTTTATGCACTTCTTGTTACTGTGGACTATTTTATTTTTTTTTTATATTTGTATCATGTTCAAAATAAATCTCATTACATTATACATTATAAACATTTTTATTGTTTCTTTTTATATAAGTTCTAATTATATTTAAGACATTGTCATTTTGAAAGGATTTATAAATTTGTCAATAGCTATGACTGAAAGGAGAGAAAGAAAAGAGAAGAAAATTTCAAACTTGTTAAATTGTTCTTTTTTTACAAGTCTGAGGGCACCCCATTGTGGTCCATGAGAGGCCCCTTGGTGCCCGCGGTCACCATGTTGGTGACTCCTGGTTTAGATCATAAAGGAGGGATGATGGAGGCTCCAGGTTGGAGGTGCAGCCTCTGCAGGACATCAGCACCATGGATAAAGTTCTGTTCCACCATCTAGATGTGTTTCAGTCCAGTTCTGTCCTGCTGTCAGACCACTGATCTTCTACACCAGTGGTCTCCAACTCTGGTCCTCAAGATCTACTGTCCTGCATGTTTTAGATGCATACCTGCTCCAACACAGCTTAACTAAATGAATGGTTTGTTACCAGGTCTTTACAAACTTGATGACATTCTGAAAAGGTAATTCAGTCATTTGATTCAGCTGTGATGTAACAGGGATGCATCTAAAAGCTGCAGTCAAAGCTGGGTTGAGTTAGCTAGTTTATAACCAGCTTGGTGGTACCGCTGATCCTGTCATTGATGTGGATTGGTTAAACTGGATAGGATGGGAGTAATCCAGCTATGTTCAGCTCGCTTCATTGTAAAGTTTCTGTCATGATGGGTATCAGAGCTAGCCCAAAATTCAGAACACACACGGAGGCTGGATAAAAGTTTAACAGAGTTTATTGATGAACAAACACAAGGATTATGCACAGGCACTGGAACTGGTCAGGGGCTGGTTCACTGGAGTCTGCAGAGATGATAGTTTGATTAGTTAGATTACCTTGAAGGAGTCCGGTTTTCTCTTTGAGAGAGAGGGCACTGATGGCTCCAGAGACTGTTAGTTCAGCAGAGTCCAATAGTTGCTTCAGCGTCTTGCTTCTGACTTTGAGGGCAGACCTTGATCTGAGTTTCCAGCTCTTAACCAAGAGCTGCAGGGGAATCCACAGAGGAATCTTCAGGTTTGGCTCACAAGGGCAATCACGGTAGGTTAAGCTCATCCAGAGCCTCAGGTAGAGACAGGTTTCCTGTGAGGCAAAAAACAAGGAAGAATTAGAATCTGATCTCATCAATGAGATAGCAAAGATTCTCAGGTTCAAGGCTCAGGTCGCTAACCAAACTAGGTCAACACTGCAGCGTCGAAGCAAGGTCTGGCAGCTGGTTAAATAGAGCAGGTCTCTGATGAGAGGATGCGCCTCAGGTGTGTTGGAAGGTTCCAGCTCTTGGGGACCCACGGCGCACTCTGCTGGAGGAAGGTGGTACGGCTCCAGATCCCAACAGTACCCCCCCTCAACAACCGCCTCTTGGCGGTCCAGAAGACGTCGACGGGAGGGAGCTCTCATACTCCTCGATTAGTGAAGGGTCGAGGATGTAAGAGCCAGGCACCCATGTGCAAACCTCCGGACTGTAGCCCTCCCAATCGACGAGGTACTGCGAGCCACGACCTCGCCGACGGGAGTCCACGATCCGGCGGACGGTGAAGGCAGGATGTCCATCGATATCCAGGGCGGGTGGAGAGCACAGGGGGCTAGAAACAACAGGCTTAATCTGGGAGACATGGAACGTGGGATGGATCCGGAGACTCGGAGGAAGGTGAACACGTACGGCAGAGGGGTTTATTATCTGAGCAACCTTGTAGGGACCAATGAATCGAGGGGACAGTTTTCGAGACATTCCCTTGAGGGGGATGTCTCGTGTGGAGAGCCATACCTCTTGGCCAATGACGTACTCGGGGGCTGGGCGTCTCTTGGAGTCCGCGAAGCGTTTCGTGGACACAGATGAATGGTTGAGGGTGGCGATGGTGTCTTTCCAGATCTTCTGACAGTGACGGATGTGGTGGTTGACTGAACGGACCGAAATCTCTCTCTCGTCTGCAGGAAAAAGAAGAGGCTGATAACCGAGACTAACCTGAAATGGATATAGACCAGTGGAAGCAGACTTGAGTGAATTTTGGGCATATTCATCCAAGTTAGGTACTGACTCCAGTCAGTGGGGTTGTTGGAGGTCAGGCAGCGGAGAGTGGATTCAAGCTGTTGGTTCATTCTTTCTGTCTGACCGTTGGACTGTGGATGGTAACCAGAAGTAAGTGACGACTTACAATTCAGAGCTGAGCAAAAGGCCTTCCAAACTTGGGAGATAAACTGTGGTCTGCGGTCGGAGAGTATTTCTTGTGGGATTCCATGGAGCCGGAATACATGCTTCACCAGAAGCTGTGCTGTTTGGAAGGCCGTGGGAAGTTTCCTGAGAGGAATCAGATGACATGACTTGGAAAATCGGTCGACGATGGTTAAGATAGTGGACATACCTCTGGAGATCGGGAGACCAGTGACAAAATCGATGGCGATGTGAGACCAGGGACGGGTTGGAACAGGAAGAGGATGCAACAGACCAGAAGGCAGTTGATGTGAGGTTTTGTTTCTGGTGCAGATGGAACAAGCCAGTACGTACTCCTTAACATCCTTGTGCAGGGTAGGCCACCAGAAACGTCTAGAAATCAGGGCGATAGTTCAGCTCACCCCCGGTTGAGCGGAAAACTTGGCTGTGTGCATCCCTTGAATTAGGCGGGATCTGACAGATGAAGGGACATAGGTTCTGTTAGGAGGACCGTTACCTGGGTCAGGTTCAGAAGCTAGGGCAGAGTTTATGAGATCAGTGATCTCCCAGGAAACCACTCCAACAGTACAGGAGGCAGGAAGAACAGGTTCAGGTGTCTCGGGTTGATCAGCAGAGTATAGACGAGAGAGAAAATCGGGTTTGATGTTCTTGGAACCAGGTCTGTAAGAGAATATGAGATTGAACCGAGAGAAAAATAGAGACCATCTGGATTGACGTGGGTTTGCCTGTTTGGCTGACTGGAGATAAGCTAGGTTCTTTTGATCGGTCCAAACCAAGACTGGGTGTTCGGCCCCCTCGAGCCAGTGTCTCCACTCCTCCAAGGCGAGTTTGATGGCTAAAAGTTCTCGATCCCCAACATCGTAGTTCTGTTCAGCCGGTGAGAGTCTACGAGAGAAAAATGCACAGGGGTGGGTGAATCCTTTGATCAGAGTCAAGTTGTTGGGATAAAACTGCAACAACACCAGAGTCAGAGGCGTTCACTTCCAGGATAAATTGTTTGGCAGGATCTGGCTGGATCAAAACAGGAGCCCTAGAAAACAGGGTTTTTAATTTATCAAAGGCGTTTTGCGCTTCAGGTGTCCATTGAAAAGTCCTTTTCACTGAGGTTAGAGTTGTGAGAGGTAAAGCTGTCTGACTGTAATTCCTGATGAAACGTCGGTAGAAGTTAGCAAAACCCAGGAATCTCTGCAGCTGTTTGCGGTTTTCAGGTGTCGACCAGTCCAAAACTGCCTTTATCTTGACTTCGGATGGCTTAACCTGCCCGTCCTCGAGCACAAACCCTAAAAAGGTGACAGATGGTTGGTGAAACTCGCATTTTTCAGCCTTTACAAAAAGTTTATTTTACAACAGCCTTTGAAGGACCATGCGGACATGTTTCTTATGCTCAGAAAGGTTCGTGGAGTAGATCAAAATGTCGTCAATGTAAACAAACACAAAAATATTCAAAAAGTCTCTGAGGACATCATTGACGAGTGCTTGAAAACATGCAGGAGCGTTTGTGAGACCAAAAGGCATAACCAGATACTCAAATTGGCCCAAAGGGGTCTTAAAGGCTGTCTTCCATTCGTCACCTTCTCTAATCCTGAGAAGGTGATAAGCATTTCTTAAGTCAAGCTTGGTGAAGACAGTAGCCCCTTGAACAGGTTCAAATGCTGATGCTAGTAACGGAAGTGGGCATTTATTTTTGACAGTTATTTGGTTCAGGCCTCTGTAGTCTATACAAGGTCTTAAGGAACCATCCTTTTTGCCCACAAAAAAGAAACCAGCACCCAGAGGAGAAGAAGATGGATGGATTATCCCAGCAGCTAGAGACTCGTTAATGTATTTTTCCATGGTTTCACGTTCAGGCTTGGAGATGTTATAAAGTCTACTGCTGGGCAGGGGAGCACCTGGTAATAACTCAATGGCACAGTCATATGGTCTGTGAGGTGGAAGGGACATAGCACTGACCTTACTGAAGACAGGAGCCAGATCATGGTACTGGGAAGGGACAGAAGAAAGGTCAGGAGAGTCCATCTCCCCCCTACCTCTAGGGGACTGAACAGCGGGACCTGCAGAACGGAGACATGTTTCATGGCAGGAAGTTGACCAAGACTCAATGTGGCGTTCAGCCCAGTTGATATGGGGGTTATGTCGTTCCAACCACTCGAAACCAAGCACCAAGGGAGAACATGTAGAGGGAAAAACAAAAAAGGTTAACGTCTCACGATGATTTCCGGAGATCAACAGCTCAAGAGGTTGCGTTTGATGGGTAACTTGATGGAGTCTCTTTGCATCAATAGC